TTCGGTTTCCTTCACTTCAGTACTAAGTGCCTGTTCGTTGGGAGGCTGGGTCTGTGGCTTCACCCTGGGGCACAGGCTCATATACCTGCACGGGAATATTCTAGAGATACAGCGTTTTACCCCCGCGTCCCAATGGCGCCGCCTAGCTCCGCTAGCTTTCCCCTTTAGGAAGTTCATGGAATTCACTATTGTACACAAGCAGTCAGCCCTCCTCACTTTTGCCCACTCAGGTCCCCTGTCCCCTTCCCCTCTGGCCTCGCATCTCTTGATCTCACCTACACTGGCCTCTTATCTGACAGTTTCTCTCACATCTTTGAGGCTCCCTGTGTCCCTGTGTTTGGGGAGCAAATGTGCTTCCACCACAAATGTTTTCTGGGTCCCAAGAAGGGGGTGTTTGTTGGGGGATAAGGAGAAAAGCCCCGGTGTCCCTGGGTTCTGGTGTCTGAGTGCCAGCAGGGCTGGGTGAATGAACTTTCCTGGACCCGTTGGCTCAAAAGGGTGGGGAGGAGGGGGGGTCCCCGCGGCAACCGGCAGGGGCGGAGGGGAGACGGGCGGCCCCAGCCCGTCCCTTTCAGGGGGGACTCATGCATCAAACTTCAATTTTCCGGACGATTGAATTAGTGATTTTTTTTCTCCTGAACTAAAATACACTTAAGTCTTTGGGATTAATTACCACGTTCTGGTCCCTCAGACTGGAGTATTACTTATCGGAGCTGCGTCTGACACTGGCCCGACACCTCGTAAAATAAGGAACTGCGCCTCCCGGCCTCACCCAACGCGCCGACCGCCAGGCCACCGCGCCGGGAAAGGCGGAACCGCAGGCGCAGAGGAGGCACGCTCCGGCCGCGCAGCTCGACCTGTCACAGCGAGGAGGGGGCTCCAGTCCACGGAATCGGTCGCGTTCGGGTCTCAACAAGACTCAACAAGACAAGGTCAGGGACGCAACCGAGAAGGAAGAGACAAATACTTTCCTTTGGTCATCCAGGAACCGAAAGTGGGTCCGCACAGGGCCAGGATTCCCAAGGAAACAAATTTGCCTTGGTCGCAAGCCGTAAGAGAACTCTAGGCGAAGGGTCGAGCCTTAACGAACTTCGCCTAGAGTGAGAGTAGAATCCGCGGCCCTACACATGGCCCATGTCACCTTCAGACACGAAGAAGAAACAGGCAAAGTACAAGGCCAGCTCGCCCAGAGCCCACTCCTGAACGTGCTAACAGCACACAACCTCACTAGAGACAGGCACCCTGTGAGAGCCTCTGGGGTGTCACCTGGAGTTCAAGGCCTTCTTGCGTCATAGGTCTCAAAGGCAAGACCTGGGTGGTGGCCAAGGCCATTTGAGCTCCCCTGGACCGCATGCTGGTATCAGACAGCTAAGAAGATGGCCGGCTAGAGTCCCGGCCTCCCAGTATTGAAGCCCCTTAGCCCTCACCCACGATTAGAGGCTTCCCCACAGTCTGTTGTTTGCTTGACCCAGCCTAGAAGTCAGTGACTGGAGTCAGGCCTGGGTAAGCTCACCCTGGCGCGCCTCAGAAACCCAGGGTCAGCGGGCAGAAGCACGCTCTGACAGCAGAGTGGCTTTGACACTCCAGTATGCTCCCCCCCCCCAAACTCTGTTGACCGGGGCTCCGGTGCTGAAGTACACCTCTCTCTCTCTCCCTCCCTCCCTCCCCTCCACACGGTCACTCTTTTCTTCCTTTCGAGGCCACAGACACAACGAATTACTTCCGTCTCTCAAGGCCTGAGTCTTCTGCCTCCTCCTCCAAGAAGCCATTGCCACCCTAGAGCCCGAAGCTGGGAGCTGGGTCTCAGCCTTTGGCAAGCAGCACTCCCCTTATGGTCGACGAGGACGATTTCCTAACAGTCACGACTGCTTCCGAGCCGGCGGATTAGATTGGGAGCTACTTGAGGGCAGCGACCAGATCTACCTCGTTTCAATTTCCCTAGACACCTGCACACAATAAATACTTGCTGAATCGATTTCCCCCTTTATTTTATTAATCCTTCTCCTTCCGTCTTCCCTTCTTTCTTTTCCTCCTTCCTTCCTCCCTCGTTATTTTTTATTTCTTGGTTATATTCAATTGTCATGTTTTTCAGGCTCATTAAATCCATTTAGAGACAAAAGAATAAAAGGCAGAAGAGAAAGGGAGGGGGAGGAAGGAAGGGGGAGGGGAGGGGAGGAGGCCAGAGAAGCAAACAAATAACCCGCTTTAACTAGACGGGCGGATAAATGGCCCCGTTTCTCCTCAGCCCCGATGCGCCTGCTTAGCTGCGCGCCCCGCGGGCGCCGCAGCTCGGGTGGGCTCAGCCCTAGGGCCGCCGCCCCCAGCCCGAAGGGACCCAGCAGGGCCCAGCCCAGGGCCTGGATGCGCAGAGCGGCCGGAGGTGCCAGGGCCGCTTCATTGGGATTCATGGGCGTGTTGGGCGGGCGGCCCGGGGGCTCCGGGCGCGGGGTGGGGGCCGGGCGGGGGGAGGAGTGCGCGGCGGGCGCAGATGCCCGGGTGACCGCCGCGCCGCGGTCCCTGCGCCGCCTTTGTGCCGGGGAGGCGCGCGCGGGGACCTAATCCATCAAATTGTCTACAAATTGTGAAGAAAATTCAAAAACCATATGGTCGCCAGCGCTGGCGCGCTCTGGGCTGCGGAGGGCCTCGGCCATGCCCGCACCGGGAGCCGCGGGGGGCTGGGCCCGGCTATTGTCGCCTGTCAGCGGCCGCCCGGGCCCATTCGTCCCGGCCTTCATGGTCCGCGCTCCGAATTACAGACCCATCCATCCTAAGAGAGGGCGATTTATGTCGCCCGGAAGGAACCGGCCGCACGGTCGCGCGGCTGTCCGGCCTCCTTTTGCCTTCTCTCGTCCCTGTCGTCTCTTCTCTTTGCGTCTTCCCATTCTTTTTCTCCTTCGTCTCCGTCTCTGTGCCCGTTTCTCGGTGTCTATAAATGGTTCTCTCTCCACCCTCCCTCTCTGTCTCTCACATTCTCGCTCCGTTCTTCGTGTCTTTCTATGCTCTTTCCCTGTTTCTGGCTGTCTCTTAGCTTCCTCCTTGGACACACACGTTCCTGACTCAGGCCCCGGGGCCCCATCGCCTGCCCGAGACCAGATGCGCGTTTCTCACATCAATTTTTCGGAGAAAGGGAGCCCAGCGGCCTGGAGGCGGGACCCAACTCTGGTGACTGCGGCCACTCGCCAGTCCGGCGACAACAAAAGCCCAGAGAGGACCCCCCCCCCCCCCCCCCCCGCCCCACAGCTCAGGAAAGTGAAAGCCGCCTTAGCCCCCACGCCAGTCTCTCAAAGTCGCTAGGAAAGCAGGAAGTCCCTGAGATACCGATGGTTCTGCTGTTACCCAAATTATGGGCCTGCGTTTGCAAATGTTACTAGAAATGTACTACAACCCCCAGATGCTTTAGGAAGCCCACAAGTGCGATTCTGCGCGTCCTAGTTGCCTCCAGCCTTACACTCTTTTACGGAATCCTAAACCAGGCTGAAGCCCTCAGGGCAAGACCAAAACTTGGGTGTCTCCAGGCTCCACCCTGATCTTCACTGAGTGACACCAGCCAGTGTCTCCGGGTTTAGCAGGTGTCCCGGAAGCACAGGTAGACTACCATACTCAGCGATGGAACACAAAACTGTAGGACAGTCTTGCCTCACCTTGGTGCCTGCCGTGTACAAACGAGTTTTCTGTCACTATCAACAAGACTAGTTTTTTTTACCCCGACCCGACGAAGCAGACTTCTCAGTCCATTTAGTAGCTGCTGCGTGCTTAAGGGGCCTGGGCAAAAAGCCCTTCCTCCTATTGCTTCCCTGTTGTCCCGAGCCCCCAAGCCTGCCCTGAAACCTCTCCCCCAAATCTCCAAGGCCAGCGGGACCCACAAGGGGAAACAGGAACATTCTTAACCTTCAGCTGTTTGGGGTAAATTCGGCCCATTCTTGCAAATGCGGTCGCGGCCCATTCTAGTAAAATGGCAAAGACTTTATTTATCGGAGAAAGAGGCCTTGGGTACAGTCGGAGAAAGAGGGGGCAAGGGGCAGGAGCTGGGAAGGGGCATCCGGAACCCACCCTTAGCGGACCACCCTCGTTCATATCGCCAAGTTGAAACGGGAGAAAGATGTTGACAGACAAACCCAAAGCTGCAGAAAAGATGAGGGTGAGCCTTTGGGTCGCCCATCTTTAGGTCTCTGTCACATGCAAAAAGGAAGAAAAATCTTAAAAGAGTAAAAAATAATTCCAGGGCTTTGGGTTCTGTTTTCGATGGTTGCTTGGATGTTCCCTTGCTTTTTCCCTAAGAGCCAGACTCCAGCAGTCAGTCCGAGAAAAATGCAAGAAGGTTTGGAGAAATTTAAAAAATAGTGTACATAGGGAGGCAGACACGCCATCGAAAACAGACTTCTCTGGCTAGGGAAAGAAAAAGATCGGTTTTGAAACTTGCAAGTCAAGGCTCGGCTGTCCCCACCCCACCCCATTCTCACGCAGGGGAAAAAAGGCAGAAGGAAATGAAAAGTCAACTGTAATAGGCCGAGGGAGTGAGCGAACCGGTGCATTCGCTACATGCAGAGAAAAATGAAAACAGCTTCTAGACCGCAGGAGTTAGTGTTCGCCGCTCTCGTGTCCGCCTCACCGTCAGCCGACCTGGTAGCACTCGGGCTTTGATAAAATCGAAATATCTGAGAGTAAAAAAATAATAATAAAATAAAATAAAGAAAAAGATCAGGCTGCGGTGGGAGGAACCCTCTATATAGGCTTAAATATTTATACAGAAGCCATACAGAACTGCAGGCGAGGGCTTCCGGGGCGGCGGAGGCCGCGTGTGGCTGCCGGCCCCGCCGGCCGGCCCGGATTTATTGCTTCGAGAGGGAAGAGGTGGCTGTCAGGAGCCAAGTCCGGGCCCCGGGACACGGGTGGAGGCAGGAGATGCAGAGGAGGTCCCAGCTCCCCTTAGCAGTCCGGTCCGGGAGGCGGCGGGCATGCGGGCGCTGGGGGCCCGGGAGGCAGAAGGTCCAGGGCGCTGCTCAATCGTCCACATCGATTTCTTCGTCTTCCTCGTCCTCTGAGCAGTCCTGGCTGCTGGCTCGCTGGTCCGTGAGTGGAGAGGCCGGCGAGAGCTGCAATGGCCCACCGCCCGTGGCTTGCGGGGCTCCTGGGGGGAGCGCGGGAGAACCGGGCCTAGACTTGGCCCTGCCGCAGCCGCCACCGCCGCCGCCCGAAGCCTCCGAGTTCTGCTCGAGTTCGGCCAGTGCCACGATGTCCATCTGCCCGCTGGGGCCCAGTTTCTTGGCGGACTCCACGTCGGCCTTCATCTCCTCCAGATCCCGCTTGAGCTTGGCGCGCCGATTCTGGAACCAGGTGATGACCTGTGCGTTGGTGAGGCCCAGCTGCTGCGCAATTTGGTCGCGATCTGCCGGGGACAGGTACTTCTGGTATAGAAAACGTTTCTCCAACTCGTATATCTGGTGGTTGGTAAAGGCCGTGCGTGATTTTCGTCGTTTCTTGGGCGTCTGTCGTTGCCCGAAGATGGTCATCCCATCGCGGCCTGGAAAGAAATGACAGTGTACGCTCGCAACGGGAGAGTGAAGACCCCACCCAGACTATCCCATAACTCTCCACCAGACCCAGGCCCCTCTCGCTGTTGTTCCCTCTTCAATTTGATTCCAGTCTCTATACCAGAGCAAGCTGGGCCATGGGAAACCTCCTGTCTTTGATCTCCTGGAATTCCCTAGGAAAAATCGTTTTGATCTCTGCTCCCTAAGAGTTGATCTGACAGACCCGAAGTCTCACAGAGTACAGAGAAGCCAAACAGAGACTCCCCAAATGTGTTGTGAACACGGATTTTCCATCTCTTCCCAATGGCCCGACTCCATCCTACCCAGAAGTTTCCAGGAAAAGATTCTCTCTCTCCCCCACTTCAGGAGTAAAGTCAGGGGGCATCCAAGCCGATGGGGACTCTAAGAAGCCGGTCAGACTTCAGCGAGAGCTTGGGTTACCCCCACTTCTCTCAGATCACCCCGATTCAGGACGCAGAGGTCCCTAGGAAATAGGGTCCTGCTTCACCTATCTCTATTCCCATCTTAGCTGCAGAAGCTAGGACAGGAGAGACCTGACGGCCGGCGTGGGCAGAGGCAGGGGAGTTAGGAAGTACTGGGCGCTGAGTGTGGGCGACTAGGCGCAGGGCAATCTAGGTTGTGCCTACCTTCGGCTGCCTGCAGGACGCTGACCTCCAGTCCCTTAAAGGTCTTGCTGGCGAGCTCCTCCAGCGCGCACAGCGGCGAGGTCTGCGAGAGCAGAGCGCGGCCGGCCAGGGGCAAGCCGCCCGGCGCGTGCTTGTCGGCGGCCGCCAGCAGGTGCGCCGCCCCACACAGCGAGTAACTTCTCCGCACTGACGGCTTGTTGAGGATGTCCTCGATGCTGAACGGCGTCAGGGGCTTGTTGGAGTTGGCGGGCGGCGGCAGGTGGTCCAGAGGGCTGCGCCGCCGCTCCTCCCCCGGCGCCGCCTTGCCGTCCTCCTTGGAAGTCATCTCGGCCTCGCTTGGGGGCCCGGCCGGGGAGGCTCGGGCCGCGGGGACCCAGCCCGCGGGCAGCTCGGGCGCCCGACTGTGCAAAGGAAGGCAGGAGGCCGCAATGGGCAGGGTGAGGACGGGCAACGGGCCGATTAGCGCGGCGACCCCGGCAGGCGGAGCGGCGCGGGGCCCCGGGAGGAGAGCGCTGACGCGGACGCCGCCGCCGCCGCCGGGGTTTCCAGCAAGCCCGGGCCGGAGCCGGGAAGCGCCGCGCCGGGCTCCAGTTTCGCCAGCCCCGGTGCTATTTAAAGGTGTCAGGTGGCTCCGCCGCGGCGGCTCCTGGCCCCGGGTCCTGGCGGCGGCAGTTGGAAGAGCGGAGACGAGGGCGCCGATCCCGGACTGCGAGGGGAGGCGGAGAGACGGGGCAATTGACTATTGCTAACAAGTTAGCCTTGATCGAGGAGTAATCAATTATCTGCAGCGGCACTTCTCTTTCTCTCTTCGCTCTCCCGTCTTTCTCCTCTCTCTTCTTTCTCTCCGTCCTCTCTCTCCCTCCCTCCCTCTCTTCACTCCACTCTGCTCCCCCCCACCCCGTCCGTCTCCTTCTCTACCTCTCCCTCGCCCTCTCTTTCACTCTCTGTCTGTCCAATGCAGGCGGCTCTAAGTTGGGAAGCTCATTAATTAGCGGGCCGGGGGTAGGAGGAGCCGGCTGGAATTAGCCTGCCTAATGCGCCTGTCAGTCCCGGCTCTTCGCCACCCTCGGCCCGAGATGTTTGTAAATTACATTAGAGGCACCTTTAGTGCTCCCGAACCTGGGGTGACTAAAAAGCTATCGCCCCCACCCCAAACTGAGAGCCGCACTCCGGTACACCGGTCTCCCACCGGCCTGGCCGGACGCGATGGCAGGACCAGCCCGGAGGTCTCAGGCTCTGCAAGCCGCGACTGTGGAGCTAGAGAAGGGTACCAGGAGCCCCAGTCGCCGAGTGACGCGGCCGCCGCACGGGCCAGGTAAGAACTGGAGCCCGGGCGGGCCCCCGCTACTGCCCAACGTGGACTTTGATGATTCCAAATCAAGAATCCAGCGCCCCTATTCCCAGACTCCCTTGTCACCCAACCGCAGCTCTGGGCCGTGTGCCTGGAAAAGGAGAAGCTAAAGACTCCCGGGGGCTGGCCCCTAGAAGGTCAGAGCGGGCTTCACAGTCCTAGGTGGGCGGCACGGGACAGAGGTGGGGATCCTAAGGATTGGGGGAGGGGAACAATTGGAGAGCTCAGTCTTCCCCACCCCGAGGAGAGGCGGAGGGAGGAGTTGGCGGTTCTGCAAGCCTCTCCCGTGGCCTGAGCCTGAGGCGGGCGCCCTACCTCCTTCTGCAATCTTGCACACTCTTTCCTCCCGCCGAAGCTCTCGGGGCCAGCTAGGGCCACCTCACGTCTGATGAAAGGCGTCTGACGGAAACTCAGCCGGGTGTCGGGGTTACTCGGGCGGGTTGCGGGCTTCCCCGCTGCTGTTTGCCCCGGCCAGGGCCGGGGCCCCGCTGCCCGCCCCGCCCAGCCGGGCACAGGGCTTGAGTGTGTTGCACGGCCGACTCCAGCTGTTCCGGATGCAGGGTGGGGACCGGGAAGGGGCCTGGCCACGGCTAGGGCTGCGCTCTCGGAAACTCGCAGCGAGGCCGGGGAACCAGTGAGGCTGGTGGCTGTGGGCCTGGAATGTCTCAATGTTAGGCGAGCGTTTTGGGTGCACCGTTATTTGAAAGTGTTTTTTTTTTCAATGTGTGTATTTATGTTTGGTTCTCCGTGTGTCTTTCTTTAAACGCTTATGAACCTCTGGGCATACAAGCAGGATTAAACCTCAGCTGCGCCTTTCTTTTCCCTTGAGGTACGGCAGTGGGGCTGTGCTCTGGGGCCCCTTTCTCTTGCTAGTCCATCTGGTTTGTGTTGGGCCCTAATTTTCCACTTCTTCCCTTGGAAAAAGGAGGGAAGGAAGAGCGTGAAGAGGGTGTAGGAACCAGGAGGAGGAACTGTTCTCTCTCCACGAGCTGCACACAGCAGACTCGCTTTGTTTGTAAACTCCTGAGTGGCCTGTGTGGTCCAGAAGCACAGTATGGGCCAGAGAAGGGTTTCAAGAGCAGCTGGGGAATTGGTGGACCCCAGCAGGGAGTGGGGCTAAAAGAATGGGACCCTCCTTGTCGGAAGGGGGGAGTGGAAGGAGGGAGGGATGGAGAGAGAGAGAGAGAGAGAGAGAGAGAGAGAGAGAGAGAGAGAGAGAGAGAGAGAGATNGGAGAGAGAGAGAGAGAGAGAGAGAGAGAGAGAGAGAGAGAGAGAGAGAGAGAGAGAGAAACTTATCTTGCTCTGGGACTGAATAGGCTTTCTCTGTACAATTCCTCTGTACAAGGTCCTCTGCATATAAGAGGTAGGCTTTCTTGTCTCTAGTTTAACTGATTGGGAATCAAGGTCTGTAACTCTCTGGATTAAAGGGGATGGAGTAGAGAAAAAGAATTCTTGCCTGGAGGCCCCAGTGTGGTGAGGGACCAACCTGCTTGGGAATGTTTGAAGCTGGCCTTCTACTTCCTTCCCAGTCCTCACCTTGCTTTTTCAGGAGATGGGGAGTGAGGTGGGGTAGTACTCTGAGGCAGAAATAGTGATAACAGAGGTCCTACCCCCCCCCCATCCATCCCAGGTCCTGATGCCCTGATGCATCACCCACTGTCTCTCAAACAGCATCTGCCTCTGCCATCCCTGAAATCCTGGAAGCCAGGAGATGCTAAGCCGAGTATCATGAAGTGAAGTCGAAGTCTAGAGACTGGTGGAGAGGAACCCGAGGGAGAGAAAGTCTGCTCTCTCCGGACTTCCTGCCCTTAGGATCCTGTTCCTGCCCCTTGCTGGTATAACACCAAGCCCTCCATGAAGACTAAACCTTAAGGTTAAGACCAGGGCCTGGGATGGTTTATCTCCCAGTTTCTGAAGACCAGTGGAGTTGAGGATTTCTGAGTAACTGCCAAGACAGGTGAAATGTGACCAGAGACCCTGTTCTCAGGGATTTTTGTTCACAGCGTCATGTCAAGGGAGGGCATTCTACTGTCATTTGCTCTTACCTCCAAGCACCTCCCCTTCCTGCCTGCCCTATCCTGTGGATTTATTTCCTTGGCCTAATTGGTTGGCCTCTCAGGGACGTGCTTGGGAGCACAGCCAGTTTGAGGGTGCAGGGAAGTGTGGTACCACCTGGCATTTGGTTGTTTCAGTTCATTTTGCCCAGATCACTTGTGCAGGCCACCTTGAAACCTGTCCAACTGCGGCAACCTGAAGGCCTACCCTATCTTTAATCCCTTAGCCCTCAAGAAAAAAAAAAGTGTGTGACAGGACCAGGATCTTCTAGAATCCTGGGAATCTAAGTTCACTGGCCTCTGGTATTCCTCCTGAAGAGAAACTGAGTCTATTCTGAGTTGGTGATAGGGTCCTTCCCCACTGCCACCCCACTCCACAGTTTTAGACCCTTGAGTGCAGGAGCATCAGTCGGGGCAGGACTCCAGGCAACCTGGACCTACCCAATCCTAGGAAACATCCAGCTCTTAGCCATCAAATATGTCAGATGGGGTTTCCAGCCTGCAAATAAGGTCAAAATGATTCTACAGTGGGAGGGGAATGGCTCTGGGCCAGACTGTGCCAGCTCAGAGGAGTTGAGAGGTCCCAAGAATCAAAATGGAGAGGAAGTTTCTGAATCCAAAAGTTCAGAGGGATGGAGGAGCCCAGCCATCAGAGTTCAGACTGTGTTTCCATCCAGATGCCTTCCTAGGAGCCTTTGCCATGCAATGGACACACACACACACACACACACACACACAGACAGAGAGAGAGAGAGAGAGAGAGAGAGAGAGAGAGAGAGAGAGAGAGAGCGCCACCTGGCCTGGGGATTTTCATTTGGCTTTCTTTCTTTTTTTCTTTTTTCTTTTTTTGGTTTTTCGAGACAGGGTTTCTCTGTAGCTTTGGTGCCTGTCCCAGAACTAGCTCTTGTAGCCCAGGCTGGCCTCGAACTCCCAAAGATCCGCCTGCCTCTGCCTCCTGAGTGCTGGGATTAAAGGCATGCGCCACCACTGCCCAGCTTCATTTGGTTTTCATTTGAAGCTGGAGGCAGCTGGACCCTGCAGCCTCCTCCACCTCCTCTGAGAAGCACCTACTGCAATGCTGTTGCCCATGTGCCCATTACCACTGAATCATAGCTCACTGGTTACAAGACCAGGGTCCAGCCTTACTCCATCCCCAACGGAAGGTATTATTCTGACAAAAATCTGTTCACCCTCTAATTTAGGGAACATCCCAAACAAAGTGGGGGAATAAGCATTCCATGAACTGTCATGGATTTGTGTTCTAAGAGGACCTTATAGACCCAAATGAAACAAATTGTCTCTTAGTAAAGGGTAACAGTTCACTTAACTCATTCCCAAGGCTCCATCAGATTTCACCCAGATTATTTGGGTAGCTCCATTCATTCCCATGTCTGGTAAGGACCACCATCTGCTCTCAAGCCAGTTCCTTCCCAAGAAAACTGTCTGGGGCTGGCACCAATATGACAAACTTGATCTCTAGTTTGAATGGCTTTTGTCCCATGGTACGGGTACTCTGTTCGTCCCTGAACTTCAGAGAGCGCTTCATTGTAGAAGAATCTTCCATAGTCCCATCAACCTCGTTGAGCTAAGATTATTCATTGTGGGTTTTACATTCTGTCCTTGGCCACCATCTATTAAAATAGGAACAATAACTATGACCATAAATGCCATATGCACTTACATTTCTTGGATCCTGGCTAAGCTTTAGTCATTTGATAATTTACAGCTTTTTGAGGTAGTTATTACTAATATTCCTCATTTTACAATAAGAAAAATGGGGAACAGAGACGGTCAGGAGCCAATCACACAGCTTGTCTGGGGTTAATCGGGATTGGAACACTCCTGTTTTCCCGACTGGAATCTGTGCTCTTATTCTCTGATCTCTTAGCCAGAGGTCTCCACAGGTTCTGTGAACAGGT